GGAGGTGTGAAGCAGATCGGAAACCCTTACCTAGCAAAGATGGCAGTATCTTTACACCTAAAGGTACATGTTGACTACTAAAAAGAATTAGCACGTTTAAAAAAAACATGAAAGAATTTTTTTTTTTTTTTTTTTGCTAAAGGCGAATTTATATAAAACACATCGAAATGCAGTATATCTTTTCTTTAGAATAGATTTAAAACACTTTTTTTTTTTACAAAAAAAATAGTTTACAAGTGAGTCTAAGAACTTGCATGTTGGACGTACGGGTCAGTACTCGATATTTTTTCCCAATGGTGTCCGAAGTATTCCGATTATTTGTGGAGCAAATCAGGCAGTACTCTTTAAAGGGTTTCTATGTAAATGCATTAACTGTAGCTGTATTTATTGAAAAATATAGAAAGTATTTCCACAATTTTTCCAATTTATCAGATTTTGTGACATGATGAATTTTATGAACATGCGGTGTGGATGTAGGCAAAAGCCTGTCCACTTCTACAAAGAGAAAAGCGTATTTATATCAAATTTAATCAAACTTTAAACAGAAAATAAAGTCAAATTAAGAAACATGGTATACAATAAAATCAATCAATTACTCAGGATCTATCAGGAGTTGGTGCGTAGTGTATATACAGATTTTTCAATATCCACTTTCGTGACTTCGTCATTATCCCTATGATCATCATTTTATTAAAATATACAAATTAATGGCAGAAAAAAATCTTTAATTGATTGTGTTTGTAAAAGTCATAAGATTCTGACCGAAAAAAAAAATGTTCATGTAGATCAGAAAGGAGAATGAACAGATCGTCTCAATATTTTGGCTGCATTTTGTTTAATTCCATAATTTAAAAAAAAATTCTATAATTTTCATTTCTGACATTTTATAGTTTACTGACATTTTATAGTTTTATTTTCCGAATTTTATGGAAGAGTACATTTCATTTGATAAAACTGGGTCTGAAGACTTTCCTTATCGAAAATCAAAATCTTTAATCAATAAATCATTTACATCAAATTAGGGTAAAAGTTTTGCTTTGTTTTTAAAGAAACCAGTGTTAATTTTGAGATCAGTATCAAGTGTTTCGGACATAAATTAGGTGCAATCACTGACATAATATAATTCATGTGTAGTAGACCGATCGTTTATTCATAAACTTGGTAGACATAAGATGCATATTAAGCCCCATCCCCACCCGACCCCAACCCACACCAAAAAAAAAAAAAAAAAATGTCGGAAATGCTGAGCATAATTCCAGAGATGAAATGTAGTGAATAATTTCTAATCAGACCTTATATTAAACAAGCTGTTGATCGAAGAAAAAAAAATACTGAACATAATTCCGGAGATCAAATGTAGGAAAAAATTTATATAGCTGTTGATCGAAGATGTGTAACCCCCCCCCCCTCCGTTTCGGGCAAGGAATAGAGTTTTACGCGCCTAAATGCATTGTTCCTCATTCATGTATCTAAGGGTAGTGCAGATCAAGGTAGTAAATAAGTCACGAGTTAACTGTCCATCCACAAGACGGATGTCAAATGTCTTTTTTGTGTATAACATAAACATATAGCTGGTGGAAGAATCACATCGGACCACATCGTCGTCCTCTTCTGGAAAGTTTACCTCTCTTGGAGTTTTTCTTAAACTTATTATTTCTAGTGTATGCAGTGTAGACATACATGAACCTACAGTGTATGTATATATTTTCTTAAACTACATGCGGTAGTGGCTGATAAGTGAATAGGTATTTAATATACAGACAATATAAATGTACTCAATGCGAATCAAGGAATATTCCTAAGGGACCATATACCCACTGATAAAACTAATCATAAGACATCACATGTCTTTTTATTTTGTATCCGTTTTTTTTGTCCGTCCCTGTTTTTAAAAATATCAAACAAGTATCCAGTATACTTGCATCAAATTTTCCTGGATACCTTGTTTTATCTAAATATACCTATATTGTTGGAAATCAAGACATAAATGCAATACTTTTTCTTTTTTCTTTTTTATTTTACCAATATTGGAAACGTTGATGTGATAATGAAATCATCTAAAGTGGAATTGACCTATACATGAGTATTTTACTTTCTTTTCAACATATTGTCGTTCCTTTTTTTCCCTTTATTTTTGTATATGAGTATTCTGTTTGATTGCTGTGTAATGCAGAATAAATCAGGTTGTATTTTTACGAATTTGAATTTAAATCGAACAAGAAAAAAAATTACATGTAAATTAGAACAAGGCTTTATTCTATGAACAAAACCTCTTTTCTCTTCAGCTGTACTAGTATGACTTCTTCTTTCATAATTTTATCCATTCCTTCTGTCAATTTCTGCACACACTTTTATCAAACATCTATATAAAAAAACTTTTCATTTGTCGAATTTGATCAATTCTAGATCAAGGGTCCCATCTCACACAAGATTGGGAGACTTCTACATCACCAACCCAGTGGTTCAAGTGGTGAGCTTATTTATTGTCAAAAGAAAGACTTTCTGAACTTGTCTCACACCCGAAGTTCATCAAATAAATTGAACGACTCGGACATATTAAAATGAGGAAAAATATTCTTATTTGTAAAATATTTTAGAATAGAAATACAAAAATTTATTATCTAATCATTCATTATCATACCATCAAAACTTTACGCATTATCAGAGCAGAGAACGTCAAAAACGAAATGTGCGTTAAAGTGCGTGATTGCTGGGCAACGGTATATGCGTTAAAATGCGTGACTGCGGGGAAGGGGGTTAAAAAAGGGGGATTTTGGGTTAAATATGTGATGTACCATTGAAGTTTGAAATAATATTTTATTTTTAGAAAAAGTTTCTAATATATTTGACTATCGTTCGAATAATGCAATGGAATATTCGACTAAAGAAAATAAATATTTTGACATCCCTAGTTGAAAAGACTAAATTTTCTGAATTAAAGTAATAATGTTAGCATTCTTTAATCTTTTTTATAGTTGCATTACACTCAGTGAGATATTCACACATTCTTTCTCCCATTTGAATGACATTAAGAGAAAATTAGAAAATTTGGATGTCCGCCATTTTGAATCGCCATTTTGACCTTTCTAATGCCATTTTCATGAAGGCCAGCATATTTTTTCAGATTCAGCATACTCGAAATAGGTTAAAATCTATGCTGGACCAAATAATAATTATTTGCCATTAAAACGTATTTCTAGCCTTCTTTTTAAAAATCAGGACCAGACTAGACAGACAGACGGACTGACTGACTACAGCACTTCTGGTCTCTGACCAGAATAGCTAACAAACATTTTTTAAAAATTGTTATAAAACTGTATTTAATGAAACAAGAGCACTGCTAAGCGGAGCATCCCCTCGCAGCATGAACTTTACCGTTAATGGCAATGTCTCCATATGAGAGAAAAATTCTCATGAGGGACTTTAAACAAGATACCATCACCTAGTATTCAAGGGCACCCAGTATCTCAATATAAAGTTTAAAATAAGGTAAAAAAATTAGAAATATATTGCAACACTAATTTTTTAACAAAAGTCAAGGTGGATATCATGGGGGGGGGGGGGGGGGGGTCCTTTTTTAACAAAAATTAAGATGCATATCATCTTGGTGGGCGGAGGTGGGAACATAACCTGCATACGTGATTGGGCAGTTTCCCTTATTCCTAGCAGAAACATATCACATATGCTCTAAATTTCAGTAATTTACCTACTTGAGTATACCTCACAGTTGCATGCAATATGCATCAAATCTGAGAAATACCACTGATGAAATATTTTTTTGTAATGAAAAATGACAATATACTTTTGACTTGTGAAATGTCTTCAATGTTATAGCTTTCAAGAATTATGTGCACCTCAAGAATAAATTCCATATTGTAAACAGACATGGGGGTAATTTTGATAACGAAATGTTAAATTTTGATTTTCTATTGTAGCCCCACACTATTCCAGGGGGTCATGATTTGAATACTTTAGAATCTTCACTACCCCAAAATGCTTCCATGTAAGTTTCAGCTTTTCTGGCCCAGTGGTTCTTGAGAAGAAGATTTTTTAATGACCCCACCCTATTTTTGTCCTATCTTGATAATCTCCCCTTGTAAGGCCCTTCATTTTGACAATTAAAACCGCCCTTCACCAAAGGATGCTTTGTATGGACTTTGGTTAAAATTGGCCCAGTGGTTCTTGAGAAGAAGTTGAAAAAGTTTACAGATGGACGACGGACAACAGGTGATCAGAAAAGCTCACTTCAGCTTTCAGCACAGTTGAGCTTAAAATTGGGTTGGTAGATAAGTAGGAAAATCTGTTTTTCCAAAAAATTTTAATGTATTTGTTGATAGTATAAGAGGAATAAAAAGAAAAAAAATATTAAGCACTGGAATGAAAAAAAAAAAATTTTGAGTCGGGCCACTTTTTTGCCAGTTGGTCAGGATAGGACGAACAGACTTTTTTTATTAAATGGCCTCATGATGAAAATACCCAATGCAAATTTTTATATATTGATTAATGAGTGTATAAATTTCCAGACAAATCCAACCAGTGTCCTGGAGAACATTTCTTGACAAAATCATGTCTACAGACACACAGACTGACATGCTGATTCCAATACACCCCCCCCCCATTTTTTTTTTATGGAGGGGATAAAAAATTCTTTGGGGGGGGGGGGTCTTCTGAGTATGGATAACTTCCTTAATTGCTGCCTTGATAGAAGTTCTTCAAAAGTCCTCAAGACATCTAAAGTAACAGCAAATTTTGAGATTTTATTTGTTCTGCACAGCATTTTTTCAGAATTCTATGACATATTTTCAGAAAAATCAATTCCACTAGTCTCCAATAAAATTTTTGGACAAAATCATGTCTACAGACAGCTAGACAGATGGACAGACATGAACAGACAGACATGATGGTTCTAATATACCTACCCTAAACTTCATTTGCGGAGATATAAAAATTTCTAAGCATCCCTATACTAGTTTTGAGAAGAATATGACTCTTCTTTTTACCTTCTGAACTTCCTTCAACAAGACTCCATCAGTCATGAATTTGATCTTTGTACTCTCTGTCACATTTCCTTCATATCTGATCTGATACGACACTTCTCTGCATGAAGAAAAAAAAAGTTCAACATCCAGTCAAAAGAATATATATAAAGTGCTGAACTAAAAACAAGAGGCCATTGGGCCACAATGCTCACCTGAGTAGCTTTAACCCTGCTGTTCTTCACCAGATTTTCCCCTTATAATACGTATTGTGGCCCCCCTCCCCCCCCCCCCCCACCCCGGGGTCATGATTTGAACAATTTAGAATCTACACTTCCCCAGGATGCTTCCATATAAGTTTCAGTTTTTCTGGCCAAGTGGTTCTTCAGAAGAAGATTTTTAAAGATTTCATCTAAATATTTCAATGTAAAAATTTTATTTCTTACTGTGGCCCCAACTTCCCCCCAGGAGACATGATTTGAATAATTTAGAATCTACATTACCTCAGAATGCTTCCATATAAGTTTCAGCTTTTCTGGCCCAGTGGTTCTTGTAAAGAAGATTTTTTAAAGACCCCACTCTATTTTTGTACTATCTTGATTATCTCCCCTTGTAAGGAGGTTTGGCCCTTCATTCTAACAATTTCAACCACCCTTCACCAAAGGATGATTTGTACAAACTTTGGTTAAAATTGGCCCAGTGGTTCTTGAGAAGTTGAAAAATGTGAAAAGTTTACAGACTGAAGGACGGACAACAGACAACAGGTGATCAGGAAAGCTCATTTCAGCTTTTAGCTCAGGTAAGCTAACAAGAGGCCCAAGAGCCTTAACAGTTACCTGAAGTTTGTTTGTTTGTTCAACGCCCTTTAAGAATTTTTCACTCGTATTAAGATGCCACCACTTGCTTCTGGAGGGCTGCTAATTTTGATCTGTACTTAACATTTAAAGCCCTTGAGCAACAAGCGATTTTTTTCTGGGACATACTGGGACACAGAAACTCAGTTTTTACGGTCTCATTCCAATAACTATTCATTCTCCACATCACACAGTAGATTCAAATCTGTTACATAAGGATCAATCTACACTATCTGTGGCTGCTTCAATACAAATAATGCTAAACATGACTTTGCTGTTCTTGAGAAGAATTTTTAGGATTTCTCCTACTGTATACAGGGTTATTTTTGCCCCGTCTTATTCACCCTGTCTTATTTTCGCCCTTTCATACTTGCAAACAATTTTGCCCTGTTTTACATTAGTACAGTTGCAGTTCTGTTTAAGAAATTATAGTATCTTCTTTGAATTCGCCCCATTTTAAATTCGCCCACCTGTGAGAAGGGCAAAAATAAAACAGGGGCAAAAATTTCTCAATGTACGTTATGTATTCCTATGTAAAACTTTGATTGCCCATTCCCCCCCCCCCCCCTCCTCCCTTATTATTTGAACATACTTAAGTCAACATTAAGCTTCCAAAATAATGACTAATCATGGCTTTGCTTTTCTTGAGATGTTTTCCTATTTTTTCCTATGTAAAATTTTAACCCAAATGGTGGCCTCACCCTATTCTAGGGGTTATGATTTGAACAAACTTGAATCTACACTACCTGACAATGCTTCCATATATATATGGCTAATCACGGTAATGCTTTTCTTGAAAAGTTCAAAAAGATTTTTTCCTATATATTCCTATGTAAAACTTTGATCCCCCCATGGTGGCCCAACCCTATTCCTGGGGGTCATGATTTGAACAAACTTGAATCTACACTACCTGAGTATGCTTCAAAATTATTATGACCGATCATGGCTTTACTGTTCTTGAGAAGAAGATTTTTCAGTGGAAGACCTTCTAGCGAGTCTGTTGGAACTATGGCTTTCATTTGAAATTTCAAGCATCTGCAATGAGTAGTTGCTGAAAAAAACTGCACCGAAAATTTGGTATGGAGAGATGCACAGATAAACACGAAGTTGACATTGGATTCATACAAAAATCATACTTGCCAACCTCGAACATGTAACAATCTGGTCATGATCAGATTTGGAAAGTAAAAAATCTGGTCATAACACGTAACGACATTCACAACATATTTACCATGATTAAATTTTTTTAAATATATAGGTATTTGTGTATTGAGAATTTTTTTTATTAAAAAAAGGCTTTAACTTACAATGACAAAAACTTAATATATATTGATTAAATTAACATGTTAAAAAAGAGCACTGAATTCTAATTTTCATTTTGAAGTTATTTTTCTTCTCCCGAATTAATTCAATTAACAAGTGCCATTAGTTATTGGTTGCCCGTGTGGCCCAGTGGTTAGAGCGTCTGCTCTAGAGTCGTGGAGTAAGGAGTTGATCCTTACGTCGCCGGTTCAAATCCCACTGCAGGACATGGAGGCCAGTCCTTCGGATGAGACCGTATAAGCCGAGATCGAGTCGCAGTAGGTGCTGGCATGAAAAAGATCCCTCACTGCTCAATGGTCCTGAGTGCTGAGTATAGGTAAAAAATTTGTAGCCCTCCAACGGCAAGTGTTGGCGTCTCCATATGAGTGAAAAATTCTCGAGATAGACATTAAACAACAAAACAATATGTATTGAATGTACAGTTAGGCCTAAATTATCTTCGATCACTTTATTTAATCTAATGAAAGTTGTTTTCCAAGATTCCTTGATATGTTCATAAATATCGTTTCTCTTTTTCTTGGTTCAATTTGTTTCTGCTGGCCCTGATTACAATCAAGTTCTATCGGAAGCGATTTTAAATTGACTTCAAACTTTGATTTGTCAAAACATTCCCAGGTAATTGATTACACCTGCATTGATAATTTACTGGTACATGGCCTTCTGAACATAGCCATTGGCATTGTTTACGTTTATAGATCCAAGCTTGGCTTGTAACAGAAAGTTAAAAGTGCAACCTAATTTATGAACAAAATCCAGAAATCAGGAGATTTTTGGGTTGTTTGGCAAAAATCGGGTGAAAAACATGATCCGCCATGTCATAAAAAACAAGAGGCCCAAGGGCCTTAACGGTCACCTGAGTATAATACAACAATTTAGAAGTTAAATACACTGATAGATGAAGCTTTGTTGCCCTAAAGCAAGAGAGGTAGGAAGATCAGGATCAACAAAATAATTAGTCTAGTATTCAGTGTCAACTCATAAATTAAGTTCTAATCTGTCCCCCACTTAACACTATCACCATGCAGACTATTAACAAACTATTAGTGCTTCTGTACTATTTTTAAACCCATATTAAGACCTCTAGCATTGACCTCTCTTACGGTCTTTGAAGAACTTTTAATAAGATAAGTTATTTTTGTCTCATTTTTATTTATCTATTACTTACAGGTCTACCTGATTATTAAAACTAAGAAAATAGTTTTTGAATTATATGATAAACATTCTTGCATAATTATCTTATTCTATTAACCTTTCAAATACATTATTTACAGTGATTAATTATCAAAGGTGAATGGAAAAGGGGAATAACTTCTCTCAGTAGAATACAAAAATTAATAGAGCCCTGCCCAGGACTAGAATGCTTAGACAAATGGTCCAGATGTTCAAAAATCTGGTAGAAATACGCTTACTTATATCATTTAAACTTTTACTCAGTTTTCTTCCGATATGCCCAGAAGCAGAGAAGAATTTCACAGGTACAATGCATTTTCACTACAGATTCAACAAGAGGCCCATGGGCCTTGAAGGTCACCTGAGTATCATGGAACAACTTTCAACTAAGTAAAGCCAAAATATTTTAAGAAAGAAATATACACTTGTATCTCAGAAATCATGAAATACATGGGTGACTTGCTTAACTTTCATGTAAGAATTCTGTACCATTATCATGTCATCAGTGAATGTATTTCAGATTTTTTCACAGAATATTATTGAAGATATAAATCATGTGACATTTAGTCACATAATCATTATACTCTCACATTCGATGTGCTCTTTGCTATGCAATGTATAATGCATTTGCAGGAAGAAGATGCGGGACCCTAAGTAAAAGTGACTTTGTGTAAGTTAAGAGTACTAAACAACTTTTGTTACAGTTGTAAACCTTTAAGTGCCCCAATAGAAATTTCATAATTTTTTAGAGCGATAAATTGTGCAGTTCATGGTTTTGTTTAGCTCATACATGTGATTTTACACAAGGTATGCATCCTTCTGAAAATAAACTCTGATGTGTGAGCAGTGATATGCTGCAAATTAATCCTCTTCTTTCCCTTGCAGAAATAAATCCTGGAGGGTCAGGAGAAGTCAGGATATCCTGGGATTCTCCTGAGATATCCTGACATGTCCTGCTCTCCAAAATTTTTGCTCCTGACAATTGTCAAATCCTGAGATATCCTGACATCAGGCACAGGATTTTGTCAGGAAATATCAGGACTTCATGTTAACTCTTCACCAGAACAAGATTTTCCCAGGATTTTTCAGGACTTTTACAAGAGATCAAGTCCTGGCATAAGGAAATCTCAGGACTCTTAACATTTTCTGAACTAAAACCAACTGAATCAAATAAGTCCTGGGATATCTTGAGCTGAGGACTGTTAAATTTTAAGTCCTAGAATATCCTGAAGTCAAGACTCAACATATAATAATATATGAGACATTCACAATATATGATATTTTTTCAATGTGTTGATGAATACTGAATAGTGCACTTGAGGTACTAGGGGATTATAATCAGCACAACTCCCATTATTAAGTTTGGGAATACACTAGGCCTATTCAATAAAACAAATAGGCCTAAAACTATATCAGTGGCGGATCCAGAAATTTTAAAAAGGGGGGGGGGGGCTGACAAGTTTGGAGTTGGGGTAGGGGCCCACAGCCACACCAAAAAAATTATTTATTAAATCTTATATATTTTGGACACAAAATGGGGACCCGGGCGCCCTGGCCCCCCTTCTAAATCTGCCAGTGTATATTATGGTTTACCCCTCAATAATAACATCTGAGGACTTGTTACCATTGAAATTGCTGTTTTGTTGGACCTACTTTGAATGTGGGAATAAAATCAAAGTCTTAGCTATGTAAATAATAACGTTTATATATAGATACAGCGATATAAATAGACAAATAGACGTTTTTCTGCATAAATATAAACATTGGCACCATAATGTAAAATAATTATTTATTACAACAAAATAATTAAAAACTTCAAGTTCAGAAGTTTTTTTTACCGTAAATTAATTTTTACAATACTGTTACAGTTATATAAGTACAACATTTAGGCTATAGCTGCACTCTTCTACTAAAAACGAAAAGTACCTAAATCCCGTATGGAATCAAAACGCGTACACATTACCAAACGTTATCTGGTCAACTGTGCGCTTATCTTAAAGTGTGTACGGTGTGGGAAATCAAGCGGTTTAATGACAAAGAGTGACCCATTTCAATAATCCGCGTTTTTCAAATTGGATGAGGTCAAGATGTCGGTGGAGAGATTTTATTTGGATTTGCTTGAGATACTGTACTTTGAATAGACACCGAACTATAGAAAATGAAGTGTGCCATTGAAGAATGCCAAGCTGAAGTAATGAAAAAGTGAAGACAACGGACAGTGAGGAAATAATGCATCCCTGGAGAAAAAAACCTGGAATGTTTATACCCACAAAAGGGACAATGATTTGCACATATTCAGGGAATGAAGCTGGGAATATTCATAGTTCATGACGTTGGTTGTAAGTTCAAACTTATTTAAACTTTAATATACTGAAACGCAAAAAAAACGCAACAAGCAGTAATCTACAAATATTTGAATTTTTTATCTAATGATTTTCAAAAATGAATAGACTTAGGTAAAACTTGATTTGAAAACATCAAAGATTTGATAAAAATGTTAAATGATTATTTTTTAACTTTAGAAAGTAACTCATGACTGTTAAAACACCCCCCACCCCGGCCACTCGATTACAGCGTGCAAGTCTGCCATGCACAACAATTGCAGCTTGATTTCTACGATGCAATAGGTTCATCAGTCTCCAGATCTGAGCGAAAGGAATATTCTTTGCCATTTTTAAATGCCTGTTTTTCAGATGATGAGGTCGAATTTTCTCTAGCCAAGCGCAGTGTAGTAACCCTTGGACTTCCGGTCCAAGAACTGTCATTCATGCTAAGGATACGTAAGAGACTGTTGGGGCGTGATGTAGGTCATATTTGCATCTGCAACTCTCCATCACCTTTATTTTGAGATTTTCCAGCTAGAGCAATGGAAATGCCTACTTAAGTCATTTTCAGGAAGCCTCGGCATCGCTTACAGAAAAGATAGGGGAATTTATTTTTCGGAACATTGCTGATTTACTTATGATAAACAGATACAATACCTTAAAATCCCATGTTATTGCCAAATATTTTGCTAAACCTGCAATTTCTGATATTTGTTAAGCAGACTCAAACTCAACTTCCGGTAATGGTATGAAAATCATTCAACCGTTAAATTACCGATATTTACAAAATTAAAGAAGTCCTTACTTTTAAGATACAAAATTATATCCTATATGTAATATTTCCCTCTAAAATATGATGTTGCGTTTCTTTTGCGTTTCAGTATATAATAGGTATCGTGGTTCAAATATGATCATATCGAATATTTCACAAGAAAATTGTATTCTTTTAAATTTCGAGTTAATTGCCAATTGAACACTTTCAGAAGTTTGGCGTTTATAAAACAAATGTGCTAAATAAGCAGGGTGTGATGATATGCATTATTAAGTGCATGCACGGGCACTGGAAGTTAATGTAAATTTTTTATACATGCACATACTCAATATTTACATTAAGGACCCTCTATACACTGATGAAAAATGTTTTTTTTGGACTTTGAGAAAATTATATAGCGTAAAGGAGGATGTTTTGAAATTAACTAATTCATTTTTAAGATAGGGAGTGTGCCTTTTTTACCCAGGAAAAATCTACAAAGATAATGAAGTAATTGTAAATAAAATTCACTTTCGCTTTCTCAAATGGTGAAAATACATGCAAATAAAGTTTTCAACTAATCTATCTTGGTCTAATATGTTTTTTAGAATACTTGGATTTATTTTAAATTATGTCATACAGTGCAGGTTAAAAATTATTCTATTTCTATATCAAATGATGGGTCAGTCTAACTACACAAAAGTACCCTGAAATAAGGGTGGAGTGTAGAGAGGGTCCTTAACTTCCAGTGCCCGTTAGCAGGTCCAGTACATTTAGCTACGTAGCTAAAATTACCTACCGTAGCTTTATTTACCTACCTCGGGTAGATTTATTTAGCTATTTCAAGGCAACTTTTCACAATTTTGCTTTTTATTTTAAAAAGACAAAAAATTGCAAGTAAATGTCTACTTATATTTATTTTAGTTATTATTTAAAAAGCAATCTAAAGCAGAGAGAGTTTTAACATTGCTGCGTTTGAACACTTTTAAGGAAAAGATGTATTTCCATTGTTTGAGTAACTATACACCACGTTGTGTGCGATGAGGCATGGATAAGTATGATTACTTCACATTGTGCTCATGTTAACAAGAACTGATTTTCTTTGTAATTTCAATCAAGAAGTAACGGTTAGGTCACAAATTAAAGCCCCAAAACTTTTAGAACTTTGATTGCAATTGTGCAGAAAAAGACACATTTTCAAGTGTGAATTTTTCACGAATTGTTTTCAGATGAGTTAAAAGTTGAAAATTATCACTGCATCAAAGTGCAATTTTCTGCACTTTCTGGGAAAAATGCTAGTTTATGAAATAAGTTTGATTTAGTAGCTAAATAAAGCTACTTCAGGTAGGTAAATAAAGCTATGTAGGTAATTCAAGCTACGTAGCTAAATCTAGCATATGTCTTTTTACCACAAGGAACCACAAGGTACCACAAGGAACCACAAGGATACCACAAGGATACCACAAGGAACCCCAGGAACATCATATACAACCTTAATTATTCTAAATATGATTTATATGCACTTGTAAACTATAAAAAAATGTTTTGAAGGGCAAATTAACACATTAATTGTCTTAAATAGGTACAGTACAGCACTATTAAACCAAGGTAAAAATCTAAATTAAATTCACTAATTTCAGCTAAATTATGCATGCATAGTTCAGAGGGAGAGATTGTATTTTTATGATACATAAAAAGTTAATGGTTGATTGTGTATTTCAATACACAAACCATAAGTCAATACAGTGCGGACTCGTTATTACGATGTTCATTTTGTCAGGGTAATTCCCATATCGAAAATGAATACAAAAATAATACAAGAAAAAAATACTAAAATAATACAAAAAAAGTATATTTTTAATGACCAAATTTGGAACCCTCTAAATCTTGGTTCCAATTTAGGTCAAAAATAATAGACTTTTTACAAGCCAAACACAGAAAAATATATTTTTAATATACTTTATTTTTTCGAAATAATACAGAAATGATACACATGACCTGTAAAAACGTATTGTTTTTGTACTTTTGTATTAATTCTCTATTTTCCTCTCCAAAGTATAAAAATAATACAGTCCATAGAAAAGTATAGAAAAAATACAGAATGTATTAATTTTGTATTAGCATATATTATTTTTGTATTTTTTCACCTTTAAGAATTAAAATACAAAAAAAATATAGAATATATTAATTTTGTATCACATATATTATTTTTGTATTTTTTCATCTGGAACAATTAAAAGTACAAAAAAGATATAAAATATGAAAATAATACAGTACACAGAAAAGTATGAAAAAAATATAGAATGTATTAATTTTGTATTAATATGTATTGTTTTTGTATTTTTATCAGCATGAAGGATTGTATTTCAAAAATATCAAAAAAGTACAAGAATGATAGACAAAAAATACATTTAAATGCTTAAAATAATACAAAACAGAGTTTTAAAAACTACAAAAATGATCATGGGCAAAAATTGTTATTTGAAGAAAAGGGGTTGGAGATTGAGGTTCTTAATAGCATCTATTGATTGTTATTCAAAAATCTTTTATTTATTTGAAATATTTGTTAAATAACAATTTTAGTAACTCAGTCAGATTACCTTAAATGTACAAATAGCTAATTAAAAAGTAATTAATGTGGCCAGGCTACTGATTCAGCTACCAATTCTAGTCTTGATCTTTCTTTTTACATATAATCTGCTCTTCAATAGTCTTGATATTTTTCACAAGTTTAACTAATCCTGTTTTCTTTGTACTTTTACCAACTGTTTTGATCTCTCTGCTTTGCTGTTTCTTTTGTATGGAGAAGGTAGAGGAGTGTTTACTTTGTTGCAGAAGTCCATCTTCAAATCACACAACCTGTCATCTCATCTGACTTCATCACTGTGAAATATAGAACAGAATGATATAATAATAAAATTTAATGAACCATTACCTCAACAAAACACACATTTTCACATCCAAAATAATTCTCTATAGATTTTGTTTAGCTCACACACCTGCAATACTTTCTTGAGAGGGATCTTCTTCCTCCATGACTAATCAGCTTTTCTTCAATGTTCTGCTGACTGAAATTAACAATAATTATAAATTGAAATTCCAAAAGATCCAGCGGAGTTCACCAAATTCCATACAATTGTACCATTGAAATTACTTTTCTTTAATCTGGGGTGTTTCTTAGGGGACAACCATTTGATTTGACAATCTGGAGAAGAAAAAGGGGGGGGGGGACTGATTTATATAATATTTTTTAAAAAATATTTGTAATAAACAATCTGTCCTTGAAAACGTTGAAAGAGTAAACAAAATGTGTGCCACAATGTTATTTAAATAAACTGCCCCCCCCCCCCCCCGAACCCAACCTACCCCCCCCCCCCTCTCGAAAAAATTTGAGTTTATACAAATTACAGAATTGTTTTTGAAGGGAAAATAAATAATTCGTCTCTGGTAAACTTGAAAAAATTGGAATGAATTAGAAATAGGAAGCCAAAGGCTTGAAAATTACCCCCATCTTCCACCCCTCCCTCCCCAATCAGAATTTATCACAAAAACCCTTGTTCCCCACATGGCCAATAACCGTACTATTTTATCTTTCTACAATACTACAAAATGGGTAAAAAAGGCATTCTTTGTTCCTCTATCTTTGTACTAAGTTATTATTTAAAAAACTGAACATTTAATGTGCTAAAATATACATAATCTTACCGCAACTGTCGTTGTTTACACCAGAAAAGTCCGGATATGATGCCTAAAAAACGTCAGTCTCCTTATGTATTTGCTTTCCTTGGTTCATATATATGATCCTGTGTACCATGATTATGCTGAACTTCTGTTTTTCGATCCATTTTACTCGCGAGCAAATGAGAGTTTATTCAAAATCACCTCCAGCTTTCTCAACACGTCCCGGGAAGAATTTTCAAAATGGCGTGGGTGAAATATTGTTGACCAATCAGAGAACAGTACGGAAGAGTTTTAAAATCTGACCAATCATATTGTGTCATATATACGAAAATTACCGATGTTGAGATCGGAACAGTTAGAGAAAACATATTTACATGGTTTTAAATATCTTGAATCAATTGAACAAACCTAAAATTATGTTAGAAAAAAACGATGTTCAATTTAATCATCAGAATCATTTTTTTTTTATTCCTTACGGAATTTACCGATTACGAAACATCGTTATTTCCGGTCATCATTTCCGCTGAGAGCAGCCATTTTTATATTCAAGTTGACCTGTGAAGTAGACCATAAAGTTCAAATATAATGATCAAAACGAGCGGGAGATACATAATATATAGCCTTTTTGACGGACAACTTAACTCATACATACGGTACCAGAGATTGAAATAATGTTTAACAACTATCCTTTACACCAATTTCACAACATTTTCTATATTATTTTATGATATTCTTTCGTAATAATTTCTTTTTTTTTTTTTTTAAAGCGGATAATTAAATAGTTCTATTCCATGTAATTGTAATACGTACTGAATTAAATATAATGTATACTAAATTGAGTTGTATAGTCAAGAAAACATCGTAGGTACTGTAATTAGCATGATTAGTGGAACTCTCCATGTTGTTTGTTTTTGTTCTTTGGTTGGGATGTGTTTTCACGGGTAAATCATGAACTATTTCTTTGAGTAGTATAACATGTACTCGTCTATTGTAAGCCTGCAGGGTGGCCACCTGTGCTGTTGGCGATAGTGTAAACACTCGGTTGTAAACACGCTGTAAAATTTTCAACACAAAAAGAAAGTCTGTAACTCTGAAACTTCAAAATTTACCGCGTGTTTACAACTATCATGTACAGCATAGGTGTTCCCTTAGACGTATCTATCTCTTTCCAAATGACAATTTCACACCTAGTAAAGACGTTTTAAAAATGAAATTGTTTAGTTAACAAATTTAAACTACTGAAATTTTCTGTTCTAAATAGCAATTAAATGTAAATAGTATAAAAGCAACCTTTATAGCAGTGGTCTTAATTAATAAAATCTGAGAAAAAATATTAATTCCAACAGACTTATTGCAGGGACATTCTGTAAATTTTCCTAAGTTCAAAGAAATACAAATTTCAGTAAAAGAAAACACTAAGTCCAAAATAAATATAAAAAAAATACATACTGACTGTATAGTATTTTTTGAAAAATTATTAAGTCCAAATTTAATACAAAAATAATACAGACTAACTGTATGTAATTTTCTGTAAAATTACTAAGTTCAATTTTAATACAGAAAAAATACACTTGAAAAAAACTAAGTCCACAAAAATACAAAAATGATATACTGAAAATAATCTAAGTCCCAAAAAATACAAAAATAATACCCTGTAAAAAATCAAAGTCAGATTTTAATACAAAAATAATCTACCTATTTGTTGGTGATACAAAAATAATATATTTTTTCTGTATTAATTTTAAACAATACGGAAATGATTGTATTAAAAATATATTAAAAATATACTTTTATGTATTATTTTTTGATATGGGTTAAAATATCGTAATACCGAGGGCAACATAATAAAAGTTCCCAATAAAATCCATAAAACAACGTTTTGAAAGCTTGTTGTTGTATTAGGAGGTGTATTTTTCTCCTTTTGTTTCCTTCTTCTGTTCAAATTCTTCATTAAAACGCTATATACATATAATTTATTAATAACTTATCTTGAATAGATATCTTCATGATGCTATTTCTTCTATTTCCTTCATTTTAAAAGAAATGTGCACATTTTTTATAAAAACTTAGGCAATCTTCATTTATCTGCCGCCATTTCCTTTTACTTTCGTTTCTGTCTAGATAATGCGTTCGTAAAATTTTCAATGTCTGCGTATCGTTACTACATATATAACAACAATTAATACATCACTGGGTGGTTTTGGGTGTTCAATGAGCTTAGAGCTGCAGTGAACAACTGACGAAAGTGGGCAGTGTGATAGGCATATTCCTTAACAGGATTTGAGAACACACAAGCTAAATGTCAAAATAAATTTGAATTTTTAAATAACTGAACAGAGTTCAATTAGCAGTTCAGCAATTATCGATTTGTATTTCTGCTGACACCTGTGAGGTAGTCCAAGCCACTATCCAAGCTGTTAAACTTTAGTGGAGTTCAAATTTTGCCAAAATTATGTTTGATACCCAAGCTGACAATTCCTGCTGTTTAACTGCAAACGAAATTACACATTATGTATCTAACATACATGCATACAATTAAATGTAACCCTTTATTTAATAAATAAATTTTACTTATTATCCATAGTAAAAAAAATAAAATCAACTTTACAGAGATAGATGAACTAGAGACTACATTTATAAATAAACAGTTTAATTGTTTAACAATGGCTTTGGCACGTCTCCAATTCTGCTGACATCACTAGAACAGTCAAGGTGTGTGCAGTCAAGCATCACTAATCACCTAACGGCCCTGCAAGTTAACACTCTGTCAGAGCTCAGGTGTTTCAATGTTTATTTAGCGTCTCCTTAAGTGTCTACAGTCGATCAACACTGAATAAACACGGGGTGAAAAAAAATTTTGGACAGAATTTTTACATCGTAATACCGAGTCCTGGCATTTTAGGACATCATAATAAACAGTTCTATTTTGTATAGATTTGTTAAGAAATGGTTTTGTGCTTTGAATTTACAACGTAATAAGCGTTCTTTCTTATAAAACCGTCACCGTAATAACGAGTCCGCACTGTACCCAAGAAAAACCCTAATGTCATGTCCCCTGTACCACAAGGATAGGCCAAGGTACCTACAGAATATCAAAATGACACTTAAATGACACTTAATTCAACTTTAAAAAAATCTAATAATAGTTTAAATGCATTTGTTAATTGTTTATTAGCTCACCTGAGCCAAAGGCTCAAGTGAGCTTTTTTGATCACATATTGTCCAGTGTGCACCGTCCATCCAGCTGTCCGTCTATCTGTACACTTTTCACATTTTTGATTTCTTCTCAAGAACAACTGGGCCAATTTCAACCAAACTTACCACAAGGTCTCCTTGGGTGAAAGGGATTCAAATTTGTTCAAATGAAGTACCACGCCCTCTTCCAAGGGGAGATAATTTAATAATTAGTGAAAATTTAATGGCATCTCTTAAAAATCTTCTCATGAACCACAACTGGGCCAGCAAAAATGAAACTAAAATGTGAAAATATCCTTAGAATAGATAAGTTTTTTTTCAAATCAAGATATCCCGGGGTAGGGCGGGCCACAATGGACAATCAAAATTTTACATGTATAGGAATGTATAGGAAAAATTTAAAAAATGTTCTCGAGAACAGTAAAGCCTTGATTGGTCATATTCAAATGGAAGTATCCTCAGGTTGTGTAGATTCAAATTTGATCACATCATGACCCCTGGGGGTAGGATTGGATCACAACAATAGACAATAAAAGTCTTACATAGGAATATATAGGAAAAATCTTTAAAAATCTTCTTCTCAAGAACAGCAAAGCTATGATTGGTCATATTTATATGGAAGCATCCTCAGATAGTGTAGCTTTAACTTATTCAAATCCGGTTCTATGTTAGGAGTTTGGAGCGTTTACCAAAGATGCAGCTGAGAGGGTCCGAGAAACTGTTCGACTTTTGCTTGAACTGCTGATCTAATTTTAACCAGTTTTGGCATATAGCTTCTACATGTATGGGTAAAGGGAAACATGAATTTTGAATTTCATGGTCCCTTACCCTTCCCCCTTTCTGGGCTTGAGGGGTGGGACTCCTGGAAATCAAACTGTTGACATGATTGTTAAATAAGCATTGAGCCCTAGCTCTAGATCAATCATTTGTGATATTCATGGCCCCAGGGTCAGAGTTTTAGGGTAAATATGGTGAAAAAGCATTATTCTCTACTCAAGATATTTAATTCAGCAAACATATTAAATGCATGATGTGATGGCCCCTGGGTCAGCTAGGGGTTCTGGTGTTAGCTAGGTTATGGATCTATTGGTATGTAATATATTGTTAAGCATTTATTAAAATCTTTGAAAATCTCTCTGCTCCTAGGTATGAAGCAAAATAAAATGCTTATATAGTTGTGTTCAGCAACATGCCTTTTTCAAAATTATTTCTTTCAAAACCATCTTTGCCCCTGGGTATTTAAAAAATAAAATGTTTTCTAATTTTCAAACAATGAACTGCTTTACAAAATTTAAAATGATTGTGTTATTTTAGAAGATGTTTTTTTAATAAACATCAGAAGTCAGGAGTGCAACAAAAAAAGGTTAAAGAGGATCCCTTCAAAATCTTGTATTAAAAAAAAAATTGGGCCATTATTAGAAATATTGCTGTTTCCCCTGACTCTAAAATCACAAGTTGGGTAGGTAGGTAGGTAGGTGAATAATTTTTTCTGTCTTTGAAAATTTAATACATTTTCAAATTTAATTGAAAAACTTTATGAAAAAAGCAGATTGGAAACAGAATATCATATAAATTAATTCAAAGTAATTTACTGGGAATTAATTGTAACACTTTTTTTTAATTAACATTCCACATGGGTTTAATTTATGCTCTGCACATGGTCAAATATTTTTGGTGGAGGCGTGTTTTATCTTCATAATTAAAAATTGTTATTTTTTAAATAAAGTTCTGTAAATAAAAATTCTGAAACTTTTCTATGGATTTATGTATTCTATTGACCCTTAAAAAATAACTAGAATGTTTATACATATAAAAACTATATGATCTACAAATTCTGTACACCAATTTCGAGCTAACTTTTAAAAAAAAATTAACTAGAATATTTATACATTATCTTATCTTGTAAAAATATATGTTAATTAATTTGAAAACAAACTTACTTTTCTCTAAAATTTCAAATTTTTAGTCAATATCTTTTAATTCATCCATATCCAAATTAAATTAAGTAAACAAAATAATTTTTGTTAATTTACATTTATATGAACACAAGAACTTTTCTCTACAAAAATATTTTGTTCATTGTTTTCATAGAGTTAATTCTTTAATAATTTCAAATTTAAAAACAATTATGTACAAAGGATGTCAAACATTGAGTTTTTGTTATTGAAATGAATTCATGCAAACTTATTAAATTTCTCCATATAAGATTGAAACATGTTTTATAAAATTAATAATTTAATTGTATGGATGTCTATAAAGATAGTACAGAATATATTA